AAAGTGGGAAAAGACGTAGTAACCGGAAACGCTTCGAAACGCGATTACCCTGATTCGACTTGAACTTTCCAAAGTGTGCCCTTGGCGTTTCTCTGCATTCTTCCTGCTCTTTGAACAGATCGGGTACCGTCGGTTTGCACGAATGATACTGGAAGAACGTCCCAAATTACCCAAAATTCCACTGTCCATTATTGAAACCGCGATGAGGTAGCGTTGTTCGAGTCTGGATTACAATTGGAAGAGGCACGAGAGAATTTTTCTCAATTGTCGACGTCTTGACGCCGCGGAACAGTGTTCGTATGTGCGAGCACGACACAATTAGTCGCGTAGAAATATTTTTAGGGGAAATATTTTGCTCGAATTGGCTGATACTACCGAATGTGTTTGGTCGAAGAGGGACAAAGATGGCGGCGGGTGGTGGTGTTGTGTTGGGACGAAGGATTGTAGAAAGCGGAGCGCGTCGATGGCAACCGTTTCAAGGTATATACATGACACATGGTAGCATCATAAGAGATGACAAGAAGACAGAGAGAGAAACACGCAGGCACACGTACACACACATACACATGAACGACGATATCGTCGATACGACAGATAAATCATCTAGACTGCACAGGACTTCTAGAGACGACGTAACGTATCGTAAGACGTCACGTGTATGTACCATCTCGTTTGTAACCTGATGGAAGGTCGATGTCTATTGTGCGGTCCCTCTAAACGCAAGAATTCTGTACATAAATGAAATGAAACGATAATGTCGAGGTACTCAGCTCCCTCCGAAAAACTAATTGTACCATAACTGATGCATACGCGATATGTGGTCGCAGAACGGGAGAAATGCTTCGGAAAGTGACGGATGAAAACGGACAGAAAAACGGACACGTCGAGTGAAATAAACGAAAAAAAATTATTAATAATAATAATAAACAAAAAAAAGCTAAGAAGCGATATTACCTACGAACCCGCTATTAATGCGATTAATTCAAATAAATTAACTACAATTAATAGCGAGCGAGAGCATACCACGCCTACAGTAAACTACAGGTGTAGCATACACGATAATATTATTATCAAAACAGTTCAATGTAAATTGTTATTTTTGTTGAAATAAAAATCACCTCCGTTATAATAACGAGCACCCGATCCAAGCCCCCCTCCCTCAAACTCTTGATACTATCTTACCCACATAGAGGATATACAGAGCGTACATGAGTTTTCGATTACAAGTTTCGGTATCCAATCGAACCACTTTGAGATATTTGAGTAGTTTTGAATTCGAAATGTTTGAATTGAAATTTAAGCGTTGAATTTGAATTTAAATGTTTGAATTCGAATTGAAACAGGATCGTTACTGTACAGTTCATTGTTCAAATAGATTTTAACGATATCACTTTTGTTACTGATAAATATTAAAAAAAAACACAGAACTGAAAGAAATATACATACATAGTATAAATGATGCGAATAGTCGCGTATCTGTCTGACGATACTAATACTTATTGCTAAGACCGGATCCTGTTCATCAAACAAACCGTGTATCCTCGCGAGCAAACTCTGCTTCCGCTAGGGGAAAAAGTGACGTAGGAAGGCCCACTTATCACTTGCTAAATTTATTTCAGGTACTGAAACAAATGTTAAATTTTTCCCTACGCCACTTTTTTCCCTGGCGGAAGCCGAGTTAACACGTCAGTGTACGATTCATCTGACAATTGTATTTTAGAAAGTATTCAGTTAAAGCGAGGGTTATTTTATAATTTACTTTATTCGGTTTTTGTATATAAAAACGCGTACAAAATATACAGATAACACGAAACAAACTTCGTCGTCGCTGCACCAAGTTGACAATTATTTTCGTTTAATCGCAGATGCCGTCGCGGTCATGTTTAATACGTTGTCCAGTCGATTTGTCGTTGCATTATGCATTTTCACACATTTCATTCTTTCCTTTTATCTGGCATTTATTACAAAACTTACGTACAGAAGATAATACACGAACAGTACTTAGGCATGAAAGATCATTTTTATAAATAACGATTAACAAACAGGAGGACGAAGTTCCTTTGTTTTGTCGATAACATTGAAGTCCGTTGTAATTGCGTTCTTTGTGATACATAATTTACCCTTTTTCGCGAGATCGGCGTTACATCTGGCTCGTAACATATTCTCATGAGTAGACTGCGGATTTTTATGCAAAATAATATTTTCTACAGCAATTCATACAGAGAATAAATATAGGAATTTCTTTCTTTTCTCAGACATCATATTGGGTTTCGAATGAATTAGAAAACTTATTGGATCTGATGAAAGTTTTGTCCTGTACTGTATTTTACAGACCCCTGTAGGCTATAAATGCATAAAATCCGCAGTGCTTTCTCTTCGATGCTCGTTGCATGTTTCATGTATTTTACGATATAAACAAACGTTCTTAAACTAACAGTTCACCCTAACATTTTGCAGGATAAGCTTCATTTCTTCATTGCTCCATTTTCGTCCAATAATCTTGGATGATTTTTAAAGTTACACAAACGTTGGAAGGAAAGTAACGTCTGCGAGGAACAATTTGACAAGAAACAGAACCCTTTTGTAAGCTCAGTTGCTCTCTCTTTCTCTTACACTAGCACACACACACAGGGACACATTCACCACTGTATGTAAAATAGTAACTTTCAACGTTTTGTTACGATTGTAGCTTAATTATTTAAATATGGATTTATTATCTTCAGATGAATAAAGAAATTATGTTATCTTCCGCGGTTAGTATTGCATTGCTTGAAACTGTTCCCACTTGTGCGCGTTCAAGGTGTCGGAAGATTCGGTTTATAAGAATTACAGACTCACTGATATATCGTAAGATCACTTGGAACATTTTTACATAGATTGGTCTTAATAATTAAACAAGCAGCAAAATTAGTATCATGGAGCGCAACAAAATTAAATAACCGTTACTTTCATTATAGGTAATCTACTGATTTTAAAATAATAATTAAGAATATTTTCAAAAACACATTGATCCAAAAATATATATCTCACGGTTTACGGGTACCCTTTGAATTGGAAATTACGTTCCATTGTATTTTAGTACAATGATACATTAGAAACTGAAAATTTTCATACCGTGTGGTGATACTGTGCACGGTACACTGCTTTAATAAATTAATTTCATGATAATTGCACTTGGGAATTAAACCTATGTTTGAAACCCAAGAGCTGAATTATCTACCCTTAAATTTTCCATTTTGTAAACAGCGAGGTTTCTATGCATCTTACACATATGGTCAAAGTATTTCCATTACGCATCAGTAATTTGCAAATGAGGTACATGACACAGTGAATCATAAATACATGATGTAATGAACTGCTATTACTTATTATTAGACTGCGGATTTCTATGCAAAATATCATTTTATGAAGTGTTTCACAAAGAGCGGAGTAAAAATAAAAAGTTCTTTCCTTTCTCAGGGATTCTATTGGGATAAAAATGAAATAAAAAATTTATCAAACTATCCAATTTTTGTCCTTTGTTATATTTTACATGGTTCTGCATACTTTAAATGCAGAAAATCCACAGTCTACTTATTATATAAAAGGTGTCGAGATTTGCGTCATAATAGTTTCCCTATCCCAACAATACTTTGTGTATAATTTAACGGTGAATATTGCTGTTATATACGCACATAGGTGTGTCAAGACGTTGGAACCGTTGTAACGCGCTTCGGTCATTGCACTGCGAAATCGGACCCCGTTTGGAGTAACAATTCGGATTTTATTGACACTTGGATATGTTGTAGTCCCTAGTGATATATAAGCGTATCTTGGAGAATTTTTGAAGATTTTAAACATTGTTGATTCTACATCTGTTTGAAATATAGTGTCAACCTGTTTTCAAAAAATCGCAACTGTTGAACTAACGAACCGATTAAAATGAGCTTTGTGGGTGCTATTTCAGTTAAAAAAAATATCAAAATCTAATCAAAATAATTGGTTAAAAAATATTTTTTTTAACTGTAATAATTTTTATTAGGTGCTTTTTATGTCTCTACTATAAGCACCCACAAAGTTCATTTTGATCAAAGGTTAACACTATGTTTCAAATAGTTGTAAAATCAACAATTAAAAAAATTTTCAAAAATCCTTTAGGATACATTTATATATCACTAAAAACTACAACATATTCAAGTGTCAACAAAATCCGAAATGTTACTCCAAAAAGTGTCCAATTTCGCGTGGAATGCCCCGCTTATGACAAATTAATAACAATATTTTTATTTTTAGGACGTCACGAAGAAAGGCTTCTTATTTAGAATATTGGTATAATTAGCACCAACTTATTCATCATTATGAATTAGCTGCTAAAATGTTGACTTCAGTCAAGTAAGTTTCATTTTACTTTCTTATACGTTTCTTGAAACTTTGATTAATTACTCTGTGTCAATTTATAATTCAGAAATAATTTCTTTTGTCCTATTAATACATTAACTTATTGAGTGTAACTGGTATGATAAAATTTCTACCATACTTAACATCCATTTGTTTTTGTTACATACAGGCATTATACATATCACAGTATGTAATATATTAGTATTCGTTTTACACCTACAAAACAGATATAACTCTGTATCTACTAGCAGATATGCTATTTCAAAATGCATAAGTATGTATAAATTATAATTGACACGTCTCCTCCTTTCAATTTTTCTATAAAAAATTTGTGCTTGTTTTTGCTTATACAATGGCAGGATTATGAATTCGTTTATACCAAAACTTGTAATTATTCATAGTTTTAAGGTAACCAGATGGTTTAGGTTACAATGCGGGACATGTCCAAAAAAAGGACACACATTTTTGAAAGCACCATTTTCTTAGTTTATTACGTCTACTGTAGAAACATTTGTCAGTAGAGGAAATAGTAAAACTTTGTGCCACTGCGAAAATGTTAAAAAAGTTACATATCCAATCTGGGACACTTTCAGGGACAGTCCTGCCTAATCCGGAACGTCTGGTCACCTTATTCATAGTAAGAAGTATATAAAATATTCCATAAAATGGCGGCAGTCATGAGAACAGTGTAAGTAATAATACTGGCCCACCATACAGCTTTTTCCCATGTTCGCACTTCAAGATTACGGAGTACATTTATGCCTACGAGCAGGCCTGCAATGGCGCCAGCAATATGAGCAACATATCCCACTTGGTCGTTCGTTTCTAATACATAGCGATTGTACACTGCTTGGCCAACATCGAACGAAGTCACAACGAGGAAAACTAACAATTGAAACACCGCGAACTCCATTTGCGACCAGTTCATTAAAATAGTCGCAACATGAGCAGTAATTAGTGCATACACACCACCCGAGGCACCTGCTAAGTATACCGAAGGGTCTGACACAGATGTACCAAGAGATCCTGCTACAACACCTGCTATGTAAATGATCAGTACTCTCCACCACTTGTGCACCATTTCTAATGGAATACCCAGCATTATTTGCACAAGTAGATTTACCAGCAGATGAAATACTCTGTTTAAAATAAGTGTTATAATTAATTTATGACAGAAGCCTGGTTAGTTTTAACAGTTGTAAAAAAAAAGTGAAATGCATACCCCACGTGTACAAACATGTATGTTAGATACCTCCATGCTTGGTACCTTTTATGCGGATTATAAATAAATAATGTAGCTGCAGGTCCTTCTACAGACAGATACACAGACTTATATGCAATCACGTCGTACAAAAATAGTGTAATCTCCAGTATGGATATAATTATCATTGCCAGTGCTGGTGGTTTGCAAGTATATTCCTCTTCGTACTGTCCGTCAGGGTAATCACTGGAGGGCGATTGAAAAACAGTTGGCCTTTGTGGTACCATTGAATGCACATATCGTTGTACAAGGTGACCAAAAACACCCTGCATATCCTTTCTGTGAATCTACAACAAATGGTTAGAAGTGGCAATGACATTACAAATAGTCAAAATTATGATACATACCATAGCTATGAATTCAGGATACTCTAGGTATCCAGAATCATCTAAATCTGCCTTGGTCATAATTATATGAACAACCCTGGTTGGAATGTCATTGGAATAAGCAGAACTATGTATCATCGCCTTTAATTCTTGGTAAGATATTTTTCCATCGCCATCAAGATCGTATTTCTCAAATATGGCTTTCCAATGCTAAAAATAGTAAAAAGTTATCGGTCTATAAAAATGTAATGAAGATTATGAGAAACATAATATTGTAAATTATCAATTATTCTTACTGCATTATTATATTGTAGGGGTATTGTTATCTCTGGTTCTCCTCTTTGATTGTTCGACATTCTGATCAGCTTGAAACCTCTGTGAAGCACAATAACATCACTAATGAACAAAAAAACTCAAAATATTTAACATCCTATGAAATAATATAAACACTGCATATATATTAAATTATTACACTTTCTGCACTTATTTTGGTATACCTTAAAAAAAAAACGAAGCTAATGAAATAAAAAAGAATATACGTTTATTCAAACTGTCAGTGATACATAATGCATTTGATATGAGACTAATTTACAAAAATTTGGACAGTACATGTACTCCTCGTGTGATTTGTAAATTATACATCGGCACAGGCGTACAGTGTGTGGTGTGTATATAATTATGTTCAATAAACGTTCGCGATCTATAGAGTCGTTACTGTACTACGAAACACCGATGAATCACGGTTGATTTGCCATTATTCCTTGAATTAAATCTATATCAGTCTTATCTTATCAGGAAGGTATATTATCCATAGAACAGATAGAAGAAAATCTAGTACCGGTGCATACAAATCGTGAGTCAGAATCTAACGAAGCGTGGTGTGTGTATGTATTTGTGTTTATGTAGCCTCAATACCTGCGAACTCGACGAAAATCCTAATCGATACAATAACTAAAATTATCTTCGGACAGAATTCCTCATTTCTATACAGTCATTAAATTACAATGAAATGATTGTGTCATCTGATATAACGGGACACGTTTGAAAACTACACACGCCAGTGAACCGTCAGCGTCGCAACAGGTGAACTCGACCAAGCGTCGCACGAATAGAAAGTACCGCAACGCTGGGGATGTGTGGTAGATCGTTGGATTTGTTCCCTTGACGATTCTCAATGTCATGTTATTTATAAGTTAAAATATTTTCTTTAATCCCGGAATAGATAGGAAAGTACCAATTAAGTAATTTAGTATTTATTTCAATAAAATAGATAATATACGGTTTCAGTTCAAAATATTTTACTTGGTGAAAATGGTGTTGACTGTTAGAGAACACAGTAAATGTTACTAAGGTAGCACACGTTAAAAAGAAAAAGAAAAACAATTGATCCCAAGTGCTTATAAATTATTCTTTTCCGTATTTTTTTTCAATCATCATTACATCGGTAATCTTACACCTTGAAAGGAGTAGCATACACGGCACTTGAGTAGTCGTCCGCTCGTGACAGGTTCGCATAAAGCATTGCTTTGTTTTTATTGCATACAACTGTTTCGTCTTAGAATGCTGACTCAACGAGATACAGGGATTTCCCAGCTACGTTTCATTTCTAATTTGGAAACGATGCCGAGTAACGCGACTTCCATGCAGGCAGGTAAACGCAAAGTAGCACGGCAAAAAGGTGTTTCCATTGTTCAACGATTCTTACCGTTCGGACCATAGAACGCCTCGAAACTGGCGGCAAAAATCATTTGTGTCATGAGTACAGGTGTACTATGTGGCAAGTGCCCCTCTTTATCAAGAAACAAGAGAATCAATAGACAATGTATTATCGCAGGATTACTGTCGGTTCCTTTCAAGCATTTGACCACTCGAGTCAGTGTACAAGAGTATTTCGTCTCGAACAGATCTCAACATATCAAGTAAAACACGGAAAAAAAGTGACAGCTATCAATCACAGAATCCAAGATTGTATAAATAACTTCCAATTATGGTAACGAATCTATTTTACAAAAATTACAACAAAAACATTATATATTAACAATAATTTTATATTTACGACCGAATGAAACATTGCTTAAGATAAATATTTCAATTAATTTATGATATAAACTTGGATGCATTTCATATCCATACTAATTGTAAGTGAACGTATGTTTTGTGCGTACTAACATATACGGAATTTTGGCTGCGCATGTTCGTGTTCGCTATTGCACGTATTTGGACCCGCCTTTAGATACAAGAGCACAGATTAAGGATACAGAGGCGAAACTTCGAGCGGTACCTACGATGTTTTAGGTCCCAAATTTCATGATCTTGAGTGCAATTCGGCGCAATGTTGCTGGTTCGTTACAATAGTGTATTTTCATCATTTTCTATGTTACAGTAAATAAAAGAAGAAAGATACACTGTACAAGACGAATTAAAAACGCTGAGGTATGATAAGTGGCGGGATTATTAAATAGTGCGATGAAAAACGTTTAATTTTATTTCACGATGAATTGTTTAATAGGGCTTTTGGTAGTAATAGGAACAGTTAGTATTGAAAAAAATTATGTGGAATGGTATTATTTTTATTTACAAGTAATGTTACATTTGTAATAGTAATTATACAGAATCATATATCTGTATCCTATAACTCTGTATTCTTGTACTGTATCAGTAGGTATAAGTATAGTCGATGGTAACGATATAGTAAGGTATGGTAACCTTAGCGGTGCTATAAATGGAAGCTTCTTTTGCGGGTTTGACTCAGCTAGGGTCTTCAAGCCCAGGATCACCTTAAGCATTTCAAAAATTGCAAAATTGGAGTAAAAGGAAAACTAATTTAGAAGAGGGATGCTTTGCACAGTTTTTATATTATTTTCCCACTCTCATATCTTTTGTTGACCACTGGCTCTAAACTTCTGTTTATGGGCCCACAGATTGTGAGTTCGTTGCTTTACCATTATTTTCACTTGGGTCATAACGAGCTATTCATTTTCCAAAGTGATTAACTTCATAAAAATTATCACGGAAATTAATTTGAAATATAAAAAGTTAAGCACCAATCAAGTGCTTTGAGACTAATATTTGTAAAAATGCAGAAGGTGGAGTTAGTCCTTTTGTCTCGTCAACGGCTCATATGGCGTTTATTTTGTTTCTATAATTCATTTTCTGTGAGCTTCCACTTCAACCAGTTATGTGCGAAATTTTCAACCCAAGGTCATTTCAAGGTCATAATGTGATACATCGTTGCATACGTTTTGATTTCATCTTTGTAATGGCAAATAATAAAATAGGGTATTCCATTTAAAAAAACGTTACCATTAGAGAAATTTCAGAAGATATGACGTTGAGATGACCAATCTCATAGCCTAATTTCTTCCCTAAAATACACTAACTTTCTCCCAAACAAGAGAATAATTAAGAGTGGCAGAGTTAGGTGGGACACCCTATATACATATACTGTCCTCCTACGAGCGGTAAGAATCATTTGAATTGTGAGGGCTGATGCACTGTATGACAGTGTATAGTGAGCGCCCCTCGTTACCAAGCGACAAGAGAATCGATAAACAACGAATTATGGTAGGACTATCAACGGTTCTTTTCAAGCACTTGACCACTCGAGCCAGTATACTGACGTACTTCCTCCTAAATGGGTCCCTAAGAATTAATTCTTCTTGACGACGAAAGATATGTCAAAGAAAATACGTAAAACGAAGGTATCAGCCAACTACAGAGTCAAAGAACCATTAAATAATTTCAAATTAAGGTAACGAATACGCATTGGAGAAATATATATTAACTGTAAGTAGTGACACTTAAATTATTGGGTACCGGCATACTCGGAAGTATATTATACAGTCGATCGAAACAACGTAGCGCTGCTTTTTTCGGACGAAGATCGTACGGTGAATGTGTCGATCGGAATTAGATCCAGGCCATCTGGCAGAGATTGTTTCTACCTCCTAAATTGTATTTACCTTTCCGTTTGTTTATTGTTCCAGAGTCAGAATCGTACAGCAAAGACCTTTGCTTGCAGAACTGCTCGAAGACGAAGGAGATACCAGAGATACGAATTTTCTCGAGGAAGAGGATCGTATTCTCGGCTGGCAAGAGAAAGCGTTTAGCCGATTCGAGGCTAATTTTTACAAAGAGTCAAAGAATTGCATCACCGAGGCTCAGAAGACCTATTGCCAACGAATCAATGAGGAAAACATTGAAGGCTCTCAGTTGTACAGTTATACGGAAACGGACTTGTATTATCCGGGCAACGAGCTCTTGACGAAACAGTACAAAACAAAATTGGCGTGCAGAAATGAAACGGCGTTGCCGGCCTTGCAAAATCGTAAGCCGTTCCCCGAAAGGTATAACAAAACGGTCGTCGACAATGCTCCTGACAAAACGAGGATTCGAACGAATCATTACGTCTACATGGACAGACGTACGATGTATGTCATGGTTGATTTATCGCGACGAGATAGAAATTTAACAAATCCCGAGGAGGATTCCGAAACGGTATTATGTGTCATCACTTATGATCAATTGCATAAAATTTTGTCTGTAAATCCGGACTTCACGGACGACCACTGTTACAGTATTACGAATTCGAACGGTGTTGAATTTAATTATTGGATAGAGCATGCTTCCGCGAAACAGACACCGGAAGAATTGCAAGAAAAACGGAACGAACTGCAACGCGTGAGTTGACGAAATATTTATTTGCACTATTATTCATACCTCGATTGCACGTCTGTTATCTATATTTATCGAAACGAACGAAACAATTGTAATAGATTTTAAGTACAATTTAAATGAAAGAATTCAAAAATGTTGCGAATAAAATTATATAAAATTATTAGAAGGATCAAATAATTGATCGGATTTATAATTGTTAACGAATATTATACGTACCCCACGTAGGAGATTTCAGAGATCTGTCTCATCATTCAAAATCTGGTGCACTAAACCCACCACAATTTCAACTTGCACTTCGTTAAGACACACTCAGGGAACAAATGTATTAATCTGGTACGTTTGATCATTTTATTACACACCACAGGAATTATAATAGTTAATATAGTATTTGAAAATATTGAATACGCGAACGTTGTAACCTAACTACCACATTGTGGTCCCAAAGCCAACTGAATTCTATGGCAGTGAATGGCTGCTTGGACATTCTCTACTACGCTTGCATTGCGGTTTCTCGTGTACATATATGCACGGCGATACGCGTGTGCTATTTTACATATGCCCCTTAAACATACCACCATCAACACATGAAAGCAAGCCTTGCATACTTTCAGGGCACATTTACGTGAAAATCATTAAAGAATTAAAGTTTTTTTGGACATTTACATTTTACATTAATTTCTAAATAAAATAGTATACACATTATACGTTTTAAGGGGCTGAGGATAAAATACATTAAAAGCAATGAGAAGCAACAGAATATCATTTTTATGTTTAATTTGTATTTCTTGAAGCTTACATGTCTAATAGTTATGTATAGATATCAGACATCTTTATTGAGCTTCAAGCTTAAACTTGACGTATTTTTTGTTGTTTGAAATGTATGAAAAGATATAAATATGTGATAAAAATCTCATACTTATAGCTCAAATAATTTCTGAAAATATACACCTATGTTTGTGCACGTAAAACGAACTTTTTCTTACATCTATGTATTCAAAAACAGCCATAAAAAAATGCATGTGATTTAAAACATTTTTGGAACATTCGATATTCACCCGCTATTATCTAATATTTTAAATAGTCTGGATTTATGGTGTAACAAATGGATACTTCATTTGTTACACCATATTAAGTGAACCAATGAATAATTCACTATTCAACCATACTGTCATATTATTAAGAAGACAATGCATTATTCACAGATATAATTTATGTTACAGGAAATTAAGGAGAGATTAGTGTACAAAGAAACAGAAATATCTCACAGCTTCCACCTAACGCCACCGCATATACATAGAATCTTCATAAAACTTGACATTCTATCTGCTCATAAGTTCATTTTTAATGGTCTCTGTATTTCTTATTACATTGACTTGCCAGAACATTGGAACTCTGATCAAAAGGATCATTTATTTGGAAGGACTCAAAGATGTAATTTGAATAATCAGACAGCATATTTTGGGTACGCTACAGAAATATCATTAGATTATGAAGTAGACAAAGCGTCAAATGTAAAAAAAACTTTACCATCTTGGCCTAGATTGTTATTATCAGTTACATCCCTTGATACGTGGTCCAGGTATTTTTTTTAAATTGAATTAATATCATTTATTTATTAATATCAAACATTAAAACATATGTTGTACAATTTTAGATACCGTACAGAAGGATATGCAGCTGTATCCTTGCCTGTACTTCCTGGCAAATATGAGTTCAGTATTCCAACATGGAGACCAACTGGAAGTATTATTAACTCTCTTAGAAGATATTTTACTGGGGGTACTTACGAACTGGAAGATATGACTTACTGTAGTATCCCTGTAGGACACGAAGATAAAGTATTAAACAAGTCGCAAATAAAAATCACAGCAAGCGGTTATATAAAATTAAAACTGAATATTATTTATCAAACTCATACTTCTATTAAACCTGATGATGTGCTGAACTACTTTGAGAACTTAAGCACGGGTAAACTTATGATAAATATAGAAAATATTTTTGAACAGTTTAAAGCAGCTAGGGAGCGTATGATACAGGTCAGAAATTTAAATGTTTAAGTACTCAACTTAAAAGAAAATTGTTATATTTATTGCAATGATAACAAATATGTTTAGTCAGATACTGATTAACATAATATCAATTTATTTATTTATAAAATGTTAGATTATGTACTATATGATAAAAAAGACTGTACTAACATTATTTCAGTTGTATTTTATTATTTTCTTGTTTTAATAAACTGTACTACTTCATAATAGCAATTTTATAAAATATATTTATTACATAAATTGTGATAAATTACGTTTACACAGTATAGAATTAATTACCTATTAATATTTTAAGTGATCCATTGCTATATTTTCAATCTTTCACACAGAATTAAACTCCATGTATATTAAAAAACATGAGGGGAATTTTATATAATCTTAGTGTAATTAACTAATGGACTAGAGTAAAAGTGCAAACATGTGCCTAAAAGGTATTTGTATTACTGTCTCTTCTTTGCAGCTTTTACCGCTTTTTGTTTCTGCTTCTCTCCACCAGAAAAGTAAGATGTTATAAATTCAGACATTTCTGGCATATTATACTTGGTAAAATAATTCAGTTGTTCCATTTCCTAAAAGAATTAAAAACAGTACAGGAAAATGTTAAACCCACAAAATGATAAAGTTTAAATACTTATGATCCTTGAATTGTTTATCCACCTTTCTAGTGTCTGGATCATTCATAATTTTTGGTACAATCATAAGTAACAATAATGGTAGAACCATCATCAGGACCTATGAAACAATTAAAATGTAATGATAAAAATTTCTTTCTAAAGATAAGTATATACATGATAATGAAATAAATAATATACCATTGAATTAAACAAGAAGTCTGTTACTTTCCACTGTTCCCTAACTTGAAAATAACGGAAAGGTGTAAGTGGTCTCATTTTTAATGGGTATGGAACTTGTATTACTTGGGAGGTTTGAATTAAATTGACTTTCCTTGCTCTGAATTTTCCCTTTGAATTAATTTCTACTCTTACTGGTTCATAAACACAATTAGGATTTACAACCTCAACTACGTAAGATCCTGAAGGTACATTTGAAATAATAAATGTTCCATCTTCCCTGAAATAATAAATTCCTTGTTAGTGAAGGGATTACAATCAAAGTTTCAATTACATAGGACATGATATAAAAACAGGAGTATATTTTTCCATCTACTGATGGGTAAAACTTTTTGTTTTGCTTTCCCTCCAAATGGTTGGGAATAATGATCAATTTGCCCAAATAATAAATTTATTTTATGTAATATGGTACTTAATATCTTAGATATATTCAAATTACATACAGATTAGATACATTCGTTTACAATCCTGTGTCAAAATTGATGATTATTGGTTTACCTCAAAAAGCCATAATGCTCCCCTCCGTTAGCCATGACGTGTGTCATAAGTTGCCAGCCGTTTGAAGCTTTATTTTCCCATGGAAAAACTTTGCCTTCGATAACGTATAAATCCGTCGACGCATCTTCGTCATTTTCGGCATTTACATACTTATTTGAAACACTGACAATGATAAAAAACAAAAAAATTGCAGCTCTGCAGATAATCATATTCGACGTATGTGCACGATGTGTTCAACATACAGGAAGTTAGGTTTGTATCCTACACAACAGGCTGATAAACTGTTGAATAAGATCACCGTTGCTAGAAACCTTAGAAATCATGTATTCCCACGAGCAGAGAGGAAATGAGAGTATTACATCAGTGTACATCTCACACACACGGGGTCTCTTACGTAGGCTCTGGGGTTCTATGACCCCAGGGCCTATACCACACAGGGCCCATGGCGACTCCACCGGGGTTCTAAGACCCCACGATCTCACCACGCGGGGTCTCTGAAACTTCACCGGGGGTTCTGCGACCCCACGCACTCGTCACACGGAGTACTTTGCACCTCCACCGGGGTTCTATGACCCCGCGATCTCACCACACGGGGTCACTGGCGCCACCACCGGGGTTCTATACCCCACGATCTCACCACACGGGTATCTGACGTCTCCTCTAGGGGTTCTGTGACCCCACGTTTTCACCACACGGGAATCCTGGTGCCTCGACCGAAGGTTCTATGACCCTCCGCACCCCGAATTGGAAATGACACTTGTCCGTGCTCCCGTGAACAAATTAGATAATAACCCCAGCAACCATGGCAGTTTCTGCAGATACTACTACAGCCCAAGTTTAAAAAACGTAGGCAGTAGTTAGTTTCCATAGTAACCTGTTGCACCTGACAACTATAATTAATACAGGATTGTACAATATTTATGCAGTTATATTTAAGACAATTCGATGAAATGAAGCTTACATTACCTGATGTATGTTTATTGGAATATACATATATACATATAAAGTATAATGATATAAAAGTTTGAAATACAATACGATGCGCTACGGTACAATACGTCTATTCGATTCAATTGCTCTCTTGCGACTACATCATGTTATCCGAGTTCGGCGCAGTACGCTAATACGGAGGCCAACGAAATATCACTGTAACACTTAAAAAAGTGTTAAAGTTCCATTTATATCATCGTCCTGTGAAAATGTTCATACTTCCAGTAACATTCATATTCCAATCAAAGAATTTACAGAATAAGGAAAAAGAATCGAAAGTAATTTTCAGTAGTTCCATACATCTTTATCTCGAATAATTTTCTAAAACATTCAAAGTACTAGACATTTTTACACTTTGAATCTCATATCGATTTCTAAAATAATTCTAGTTCGATGTAATATAGAACGTGGTTTTATGAGATAGATTCGAAGTTCGCAGCCATTAGCTCGATATTGTCTTCAGTTTACAATATTTTACCGATGATAATACCGATTGCCCAGGCTTCACCACGAGGAGGTTGCTGCGAGTGGAGGCCCAAGGCAGATAGATGGAATCACAAGTTCTACATCTACCCACCTTTCACAATAAACCTTATAAATAACTTAAATCTTACCTATCTAATACTATCGCTACTAAAATCCCTCGGCGGATGACTTCTTTCTTGAGCCTAAACCTATAAAAAACTAAGTTCCCTCGTCGGTTGTCTTCGTTCTTCAGCTTAGAACTAATATTATCTTAATATTCTAATTAATACGAATTAATGCTAGTAATACGAAATAACAAATTTAACGCAATGTAGTCGCTAATACTCAAACGAAAGAGATAGACGGAATGGAAAAAGTTCCATCGATCATTTCGTTTACGCACCTAATATACCAAGCCAAAAATTAATTCTACGATGAACCACGTTAAACTACAGTATGAACAAGTATCGCGATGAAAGTGTTGTCGCCAGAACCTGGTTTAAGAAAATAGGAAAGACGGGCGCAACCTCGCTAACCCGGATCCATCTTTCACTGTCATGGAGCTTTAGGCTGGTCACCTACGTACCAGACCCGAACCAAAAGAGTGCACAAGCATGGTAGTGCAAGAGAGATCCCCTGTTAAACAGAGTCCGTTTACGGAGCAGCCTCCCGACTACTCCGTACCGGGTACGGCATACCCCGGCGGGCACGAGTCTTTACTCCAAATCCTACTT